GTCGATCTTCTTAGATTCTCTATATTTGCGGAGCAATCTCCTAAGGACTCGCATTCTCCTCATCCAGAGGATCTTGGTTGGCAATCTTGCCTCCCTGGTACCCTTACGCTTACCTGAATACGATTAGAAAATGAGAATTTTAACACAATAGAAGGAATCATGCCTTGTAAAGTAAAGAATTTTGTATCACAAACGGGAGAAAATCAGTGAAATAAGATTATACAACATAAGAGATTCTCTGAAACCAAGAGTTCGGAAGAAAGGTACCATATCCAGAATGGCGACCCTTTCTCTTGGCCTCCTTCATGCGGCGTGCTCGAGAACGGGAGTGGATCTTGGTTGGCTTCCTGATGATGAAACCATCCTTCACCAGCTTGCGTATATTTTGGCCTGTCCTCAACAATTCAACATTAATTAACATGATTTACATCAATACGAAATATCACAACTGCAAATTATCAAATAATTTCGCTAGAACAAAAAACCAGAGCCTGTTGAATTTGGAAGAATAACAAAGGGGAAAAGTGAAACTAGTTCCATGGAAGAAGTACCTTTCTAGCAGTGTGAAGAATCTAAGAACAATAGATTTTATAACTTCATTGACCAATAAAAAAAATTCGTTTAATAATAACAGCAATTTCCTATACAACACAAAATCATCTCCTAGCAATCTGCTAGAAATGATTCCACATAACTTCAGTATAATATAGTTACTAGTTTCAAGGCAATAATGAAATCAAGAGTTGAGAAAAGGATAAGCGATTAAATCAAGTTTTAACTAGCAAGGACAATGGGACCAAAATAGTAATATGATCATAACCAAGAGAACAACGATTCGAGACATAAACTAGGGGAAAATTTCCAGATCCCAAAGCAAACATTTCATCTAGAAAAAAAAAAAAAATACAGGAACCGAAACAATAGAAGTTGAAGCAACAACATGGAGAATCACTGAACAATGAACAGAGAGAAACAATTGAATAAGAGATAGAGATAAAGAAAGCGTACGAGAATTCGCCATGGAGATTTCGTTGACCTCATTGGGATCAAGCCAGACCTTGCCTCTCCCGCATTTGAGGACGCTGGAGGCGAGCCTCTTCTGGAGCTTCAGCGAAACCATTTTTCTCTGTTCGCCCTTCTCGGCCGCTAATTACAGAGAAGATAAGCTTATGAAGGAGAAAGGGAGTGACCTTCTAGGGTTTTAGAAATCCCCATTTTACTGTGGGCCTCTTGGCCCTTTAACGCAATTATACTATATACCATGCCCCTTCAAAAATTTAATTTTAAATTTAACCAAAAATAAAACAATTTAATTTAATTTCTATAAAATTTATTCCAAAAATATTAATTATTTGAAAATAATAATAAAATCGGTATCAATTTTACAATCCCAATCTCTATTATTATTATTTTATTTTATTCATACATGGAAAAATTATTTATTATAATTTTTTTTTGCTTGTTTTATTTGCTAGAAATAACGATCCTCCACGATATTGTCTGCTTTGAACACAAGCTCTCATAGTTCTACTTTTGGTTTCTCAAAAGACTCATAGAGTGCTTATAAACACATGATTTTCCCCTTAATTAACGAATGTGAAACTCTTCTCCCAAATCAAGGATTACACGCACAAATCAAGAAATGATATTAGAGTCAGTCACGAGACGGTGCATGATATTGGTCAAAGTAGGGCTAGACCCTCTCCCCATAGTAGACACGTTTTAAAAATGTGAAGCTGACATCGATACGTAACCGGCCAAAATGAACAATATCAGCTAGTGGTGGGGTTGGGCTGTTACAAATGGTATGAGAGCCAGATGTCACGGTCATGCTCGTCCAAAGTGTGTTGCCCATGGTCGCATGCCCATAACAAGCCGAACCCTTTTCTTTCCATGTTCTAATGTTTTACTTTTGTATTTATAGGGAGTATAACTTTTCGAAAAAATCATGTCTAGGCCTGCCAGATATGAAATGACTCATAATGTATTACAGGCTCGAGCATACGTCGCTTGGCCGTAGGCAACACAAGAACGAATTAATTTAGCTCACTAGTAGTTGAAAAGTGAGTGCCGCACAATCGCAAGTCCGCTGCCATCAAGAGTGCAATTGCAACACTAGACACAGTTGGTGTACTAGCAAGGACACTAAGCCTCGAAAGGGGTGGATTGTGAGAAACATTTTTCACAAGGGTGTGGAAACCTCTTTCTAGTGGACTCATTTTAAAACCGTTAAAATCATAAGGTTGACGACGATACATAACAGGTCAAAACTAACAATATCTACTAGCGGTAGGTTTGAACGGTTACATACTCGAGTTTTCAAAATTCTTGAAAATTAAAAATCCTAATAAAAAAAAAAATGAATATGATAATTAATGTTGATCCAATGACATTATAACCACTAAGTCATGGGCTGCGCCTCCGGCGTCGTGCGTGCAATTATTCTGATCAACTCACAAACCTGAACCCTTCTCTCTATAAAAACCTCGAAGCGATTCAATTCTATACAGAGCGCTAAGAACATGGCTCTCGCAAGGCGGCTGATCGCTGCGACTCCGGTGGTGCTGCTCTGGCTTTTGGCCGCCGCTTCCGTTTCTTCTGCCGCAGATTATTATGAATTTCCCGACGACCAAAATTTCGGCGGAGCGGGGGATAACGGAATCCCTATTTATGAGAAACCGCTCCCGTCGTACGGCCGTGAAGTGGCGGCGCCGCTCCTTATCGCCGTTGAAGGAGTTGTTTCTTGTAGAAATAACACTCAGTATCATCCTCTTAAAGGTGAACTAACTATCTAGTTTTTTAGTTTAATAATTGTTTTTTTTTTATGTAAAAGCATTTTTTTAATAATTTTTAAAGTAAAAAATGAATTAATTACCTATTTAGTTTTTTATAATAAAAAATTTAGTTCCGTTTAATAACTATTTATTTTTTGAATTTTAGTTCTTAATTGTTCTATTTAGAAAATAGTAAAATAATAATAATAATAAAATATAATTTTCAAAATTAAAAAATTAAAATAAAATTATTATCCAACCAAACCTTAATTTTTAAATTGTTAGGTTATATGTATATACTTCGACTTCGACTTGTATTGGGTCGGGTCGTCAGATTTTTTTTTTAATTATATAAAATAATCATATTTATTAAGTTCAAATATTCACTAATTTTGATTATCAATGTCAAATATTCTTAATATTCATAATAATTTTTAAAATAGGGGAGCATTATAACCGTATTTTCAGATTGGTCAAGTCTACAAAAATGTTAACCGTCGAACCGACCCACGTTAGGAAAAAAAAATTAACATAACCCCATCTTTATAGTTTGAATTAGCTCGATTATTTGATTAGTTTAAAGCGTTGCAGGTGTGGTAGCGAGAATCACATGCATGGGGTTGAACGAGAAGGGCAACGAAATGGCTCCTTTTTCGTTCTCGAGCTTCCCAAGCGACGAGCATGGGTACTTCTTAGCCACATTGTCAGTATCCAAGCTGAAGGGGAAGGCCAAAGTGACAGAGTGCAAAGCCTTCCTTCCACCATCTTCCCCATGTGAGGGCTGCAAATACCTTACCAACGTTAACAATGGCGTTCTTGGAGCTCTCTTTCGTTCTTTTCGCATTCTCACTCACAGGAACATGAAGTTGTACTCTGTTGGACCTTTCTTATATTCCTCATACCTTGATCCCTTAATTTCTTCTCCTTGAACCTTATTATTTGTTGTTTCGTTTCGTTTCGAACAAAGAAATGGTTTGACGTAAGCTTTCGTTCTCGTATTCTTATCATTGTAATATTGTCGTCAAGAAATTTATATGCGTTCTTTTAATTTCTCTCTTTCTTTCATTTGTTTGAGGGCGAACAAATCTGGTTAACTATCATAAATAAATGGTTAAAGAACGGTTTTACTTCCGAACTTCTAAGGAATGAACAACTTTGTAACAATCTACGCCTATAGCTAACAGATGTTGTCCGTTTTGGCTTGTTATTTATTGTTGTCAGCCTCACGGTTTTAAAAAGCGTCGGCTCGGGAGAGATTTTCCACACTCTTATAAGTAATGTTTCATTCCCCTCGTCAATCGATGTGAGATCTCATAATCCATTTCCCTTGGGGGCCAGCATTCTTATTGGCACACCGCTCGGTATCTGGCTCTGATACTATTTGTAACATCTCAAGCCCATTGCTAACAAATATTGTCTGCTTTGACATGTTACATATCGCTTTCCATCTCACGATTTTAAAACGCGTCCAACGTGGGATCTCATAAGCCAGATACCGAGCAGTGTGTCAACGAAGACATTGGGCCACCAAAGGGGCGGATTATGAGATCCCACATCAAACGTGTTCTAAATCCATGAGGCTTTAGAACACGTCTGACGTGGGATCTCACAAGTCAGACACCGAGCAGTGTGTCAGCGAAGACATTGGGCCACCAAGGGGGCGGATTGTGAGATCCCACATCAGACGTGCTCTGATACCATTTGTAACAGCTCAAGCCCATTGCTAACAAATATTGTCCGCTTTGACATGTTACATATCGCTGTCTAATGTGGGATCTCACAAGCCAGACACCGAGCAGTGTACCAGCGAGGACGTTGGACCACCAAGGGGGTGAATCGTGAGAACACACGACAATACGTAACAGGCAAAAGCAAACAATATCTGTTAACGGTAGGTTTGAGCTGTTACAAACTTAGTTCTTAAAATTTAATTCGTAAAAGAACATGAAATTATACAATTGTGTCAAAGTTTTATAATACTCCAAATAAAAATGGATTTAATATATATATCTTATTTGCATGTCCCCTCAACTTTGTGCCACTAAAGTCCCATAATGTTTGTTCTCATCGTGCATCCAATAACTTTTTCATAATATAAAAAAACACCAAAATAAAATATACATTTATATTATAAGATGCAAATTTGATTTATAAAAGCCTCCTTCGTTCTAAGTCTCAAACCCAAATAAACTCTTCTCTGTATATTCTCTGCATTGAAAATGGCCGCAGCTGGTCTCAAGTTCTTGATAATGGCTTCTCTCCGTGCAGTTTTCTTGTCGCTTTTGGTCATTGTTGCTTCAGCTGGTGGCGATGACAATAATGGTGGTGGGTATTATGATCTTATGACACCCAAATTGGCTAAGGAACAAAGGCTTCTCTCTACCATGATTGGTATCCAAGGAATTATCCTTTACAAATCTGGCTCGACAATTTTCCCTCTTGAAGGTAACTAATTCATATTTTGGTTTGAACGAATATAACTAAAGTAACTTAAGTTCGAACCATTTTAAAATCACTCTCACTCTTAGAGTATGAGCTCTTTGTGAGATCCCACATGGGTGTAGAAACCTCTCTCTACCATATGCATTTTAAAACTTTGAGGGGAAACTCGAAAGGGAAGTCCAAAAAGGACAATATCTATTAGCGGTGGACTTGAGCTGTTATAGTCTTGGTTATCAAATGAGATGTACGTAGGAGTTCTAATTTCGGGTTTGTTTCTTATATAGGAGGTTTGGCAAGAATCACATGTAAAGCCGTGGATGAGTATGGCTATGAGGCAGCTTCTTACACATTTTTAAGCGATTCAAGTGATGCAAATGGCTACTTTTTGGCAACACTATCTCATTCAGAGGTAGAAGACAAGAGGGAGTTAAAGGAATGCAAGGCTTTTCTTGAGCTCTCACCATTAGAGAACTGTCAAGCTCCTTCTGACCTCAACAATGGAGTCTCTGGTGCTCTTCTCCATTCTTATAAACTTTTGGTCCATAACAAGATGAAACTCTTCTCTGTTGGGCCTTTCCTTTTCACTTGCCAAAGTTAAAGAGGAGATGGAAGGCATGATAGTTAATGATCCCATGTGTTTAAATACCTAGTGTTGAAACTTTACTCATTTCATGAAGGAATGGTCTCAGTTTCTTAAAGCAGAAGTGGCTAAGTTTGTAATATGAATTGGGTTTGGAGAGATTTTGTAACGGCCCAAGCCCACCGCTAGCAAATATTGTCCTTTTTGGATTTTTCCTTTTAGGCTTCCCTTCAAAAATTTTAAAACGCTTTTTCTAGGGAGAGGTTTCTACACCTTTGTAAGAAATGCTTCGTTCCCGATGGAATCTAACAATCCACCCCCCTTGGGGGCTCAACGAGGCTCTGATACTATTCGTCTCCCCCTCCAACCGATATAAGATCTCACAATCCACCTCATTGAGGACCAGCATCTTTGCTGGCACACCGCCAGTGACTGGCTTTGATACCATTTGTAGCCTTTTAGAAATAAAAAGACTAAAAGATAGGTAAAACGCTAGCATGTGCCATGGAGAAGTTTTCTTGCAAGTCCCATTCACTATTAGTATCATTGTAGACTGTAGAGTCTCAATCTACAATCTGCTATCAATTCATTACAGAGTAACACAACAAGCTTTGTATGGAATGTAATCTAAATCACCTTTTCTAGCTAGAAGTTTCATAAGCTTGCTATCATAAAGAATAAGTTTTCAGATGATTTCAATTTTCTACCAAACAACACCTTAGTTCATGTCGATCTTATCTCAAAACCGATCCTAAGCCGAGCTGAACCAAAGGATGAGGGAAAATTTTTCTTTGATTAAGAATTCCAAGTACTTACATTCTTTGCCATTTGGAACCAAAGAGGCTAAGCTAAGAATATCAACTACATACACACAACAAAAAAACAAAAATGTTTCTATGAAGCATTCTCAAGATTTAGCTGACCTGTTGAGAAAGGAGGACAAGCAGCCCTTGGGGACCAAGCAATATCTCGTTGAGGAAGCTAACCAATCCGAACCAGACGACTGGTGTTACGTCAACTCCACCGAGAGGGGGAATCACCTTCCTTGTTGCAATTAGGAGTGGTTCAGTGGGGGCATAAGCTATAACATATGGAAACTTCCCCACAGGCAACTTGGGATACCAAGACATTACTATTCTCGCAATAAACAAAAACGAAAACGCCGAGAGAAATGGCCCCAAAAAGCCGATCGCAAGCTTTGCGGTTCCTGGATCGAGGTCAGCCAAGGACACATTGTTCATGAAGTCAGAGGCAGCCACTGATGCATCTTGCAAGGCAAAGGGGATAGTCCTTGCAGCTGGCTTTAACGGAGGGGTGGCATACACCAATGGCAGATGAATCTTGGAAGAGGTAAAAGAACCCAACAAAGATGAGCTACATTTGAATGCTTGGAATCTGCAATTTGGATTACTTTGAGGATGGTAATTGAACCCTCTCTGTCAAAGGAAGCAGCAACGAGACCAAAAACAAAATGCAATAAGATTAAGAACGTGTTTAGAATGACTTTTCAAGTGTTTAGAAACAGAGTTTAAACTGTTAGAAAACGAGTTTTAGGTACTTAAAACGTCAAATTCTTAGAAGCTAACCATAAAGATATCCACATTAAGTAATGATCTTAATGACAAAAAGTAAGAACATAACCTAAATTTCTTTAAACTCTATAATCAATCTGCCACAAACAGGAATACAGGAAAAGTTCATAAGAGTAATTTCAGTCATATTTTCACCAACATTGTCAAAAACTCCTAATGATGCTAGCCCTACTGAACAAATCAGAACCTAAGAAAGGATCAGAAACAACAAATTCGAGAGCAGAAGAGGCAACAGAGAGGTATACAAGGTGAATACATACACAGAAGCTTGAATTTCCATGGTTGGGAATCAAAGGGGACGATCCTACACCTAAATTTCAAGGATTCAGTAGATCTAAAAAAAATTTGAGAATCGTAATTTAAGAAGAGAAAAATTGAAAAAGGAAAAAGAAAGAAGAACCTATTACTCGAATGGCGCTGAGAGACGAGCAGGCAGTGGCGGCCATGGATTTCGCAGAGGAGCTCCGGTGGAGGAAGAACGAAAATGCTATCCCTTTATCAGAAAATGAAACTCGGCCATTCAAACAGAGGATTAATGATTCGATTATCACGCCGGTTCAACCCGGTTCTGTTGGGTCAGACATTTATTCCTCAGACCGGTTCTGTTAGGTCCACTTTGAGCGTAAGCTCTGGTGGCTTTGGTTTGTACTCCCTAAAACGGTCGTATCAATTAAGTTAAATTAAATTTTAATAGATTATTAATATTACTGTAATTAAAGAAAAATTTGGGCCAAAATTATAAATTGCCTCATTTATTTAAAATAATACCTTTTTTAAATTCTTAGGCTTACTAGAAACCTTGCTTTGTAAATGGGCATTATCATTTTACAAGCAAAGAACCTTGATATACTTTTGGAACTTTAAAGCCTTTCAAAATTAAGCTCCCAAAGAGATCAACTGCCTTCCACGTCTCCCTCCTTCCCCAATCGATGATATCAATGCCGTTCGATCGGGAAAAATTAAGCTTGAGCTCGGACAGCCTATCCCGATGGGTCACGTGGGGTGGCGGAGCTTTCGTTTTTGGTTGTTTACTCGCAATTTCTACATTTAAGATGAGCAAGAAGATAATAACCCCTTCTAAAACGGGTCAAGACGACGATTCAAATCTCAATGTTGATGGTTTTAGAGAAAGTACTCGTTGCGTCGATGAAGGAACTCGACAAAAGGATGAACTGCAACCGTTTCGTCAGTCTTCATCAACGGATCTCATCAGCCATTCATGGTTAGGACTAAAAAACAATATCGATATTGTAATAATGATTCATTTTTATCGTTGCTTATTTGTGATATTATGTTGTAGCCACACAACGTCGCAAATGTTGGTAAAATATTCTCCACTGGAAGACTCTGTCATTGACGAAACTCAAACCCTAACGACGAAATCCATCCCAAAAAAAAATGACGAAGAAAATGTTGTGGTTAATAATTATGAAGAAGAAGAGTATACAGATTCAGAAAAATCCGTAGAAAATGAAGTTGCAGAGAGTTTTTCATCCGAAGAATTTGATGAAGCCACTTGGCTTGGGTGGACAGATAAATCATCATCATATTCATTAACATCGTCGTCATCATTAGAAGAAGCTTCATCTCATGGAGTTTTTTCTGGAGAAGATAGAAAGAGTTGACGAGAAAACGATATAATTATATTTATTGATGATGTAAATTTTGTTTTGTTTTTATATTTGAATAAAAAAAAATTATTAATTATTTTTTAATTTAAATATAAATAAAACAAAAACCCATAACTTTAGGGGAATTTTATAGAATTTAATCCATTTAACATCAATATTAATAGGTACAAGCTTGGTCGTATTAATGTTATACAACACAAGCCGGCGGGTTTTGCACGCCAAAAGTTCTAATCTTTGCATTCAAACATGAAGACACAATGGTCGTATTCTTCAAGCTGGCGCCGCCGTAAGACAAGTTTATGTCCCTAAGCTCCACCCCCTCGCATGGAAACAACTCGCTGCACTCCAACAACACTGCCACGTTCGTCGTCGACGTCCCGCGAATGTTCTTGAAGAGAACGTTGCTGATCTTCCATTTCGAAGCCTACATAGATTAGTGGTAGTTCTCAAATTACTAATTTAGGGAATGATCATGGATTTATAAGTAAAAAATAAATCTTCATCCGAGTTTGAGAACATTTTTGTTGTGGTTACCTTCTTCTTTTTGGTGCCGTAGGTTTGATCAATGATGATGGGGTTTTTAACTTTGCGCATCACAATATTGTCGAAGATTATTCCTACGGCCGACCCAGATATGGTGTCGGCCCATGTCTTGATTCTGGCACCATTCGTGGCGTTGAAAATGGTGCAATTTTGCACCAAAACGTCCAACACACTCTTCTCTGTTTTATACCTGCCCAAGCTACCGATACTGATGCCATGTCCAGGGCCACAAGTGACATTCGTGACGGTGATTTTTTCACAACTATGGCCAATGGAGACACAATCATCACCGGTGCCAATGGTGCTGCTAGAGATGGTGACCAATTTTGAGGTGCTAAGGTGCATTCCATCGGTATTGGGGCTGTTTCCCGGAGCTATAATGTTCATGTTGGTTGCGGTGAAATTGTAGCATCTGAACACCGACGTGTGAAAGCCCTTGCTGTTGATTGAAGTCAGCCCATCAACAATTGAATGGTTCAATCTCGTGAATTTAATCGACTACAAAAAAATTAATTTATTTATTTATTAAATACAATTAATTTATTTATTAAATAAGAAGTGATTGAATTATGCATAATTATAGTTACGTTTGGAAGAATCTGGCAGTTGTTGTTGGTCTTGCAGTCATTGTAGGGCCAAGCGGAGGCGCCTTGGCCGTCAAAGACGCCGGAGCCGGTGAGTATGAGGCCGGTTATTCCTTCGATGGAGATCCAATCAGGTGAAGAATATTCACTGATGTCGGTTGTGGCCTTCACAGTTCCCTGAATTTCGATGGTGATCGGCCTGCTTTGGCACGGACCGGCGAAAACCACCGGACCCACCAGAAATGTGCCTTTTGGGATTAAAAACTTCGCCGGACCGGTCGTGTTCCGGCAGGCTGCAATCCACGTCGTCATGAATGCCTGCCACGTGGAAAATCAAATGTTTAATTTTTTTTTTTATAGATAATTTCTCAAATTAAATAATTGAAGTTTATGATTCACCTGTGCATCATCACTCTTTCCATTAGCTTTAGCTCCATATTTTTTAACATCAAAAACTGCATTACCATTCCCATTCCCCTTCAGATCAACAGCCGCCTTCGTGCTATTTATTGCCACCCTGCCGTGGCTGTTTGCCAGAGTTCCGATACCGAGAGGCAGCGGTGGTGCTGGTGGACGATGCTGCTGACTGGTGGTTGATACGATCCCGTTGATGGGATTCGCAGCGACTTTAACGTGGTCGAAAACGGCAGCCACCTCTGCACAGCATTGGCAAGCTAATACTAAGAGAAGGGTTTGAAAGAGGCTAAGATTTGTTGTCGTTGTCATGGTGAATTGTCTTAAATTTTGATGCACAAATGGTAAATAAGAATGTTTTGTTTGATATTTTGCCAATGATTGGAAGCTGTATTTATAAATGCTTTATGGGAAAACTAAATTTAAAACATTGTAACAGAATTGGATTGGTTTGGAGAATTGTTCTAAATATTGAATGTGTTATAGCTTGTAATAGCTTTGGCGGCTGTCTTTTGCCTTTCATTTAATTTGTTTTTGCACAACAAATTGTTTGGGTAATTTCCCATTGATAACGTGAAAGATCGTTGTTAAGATCCCTCTAATTACATTTAATGTATTATGTTGTTCTTACAACAAAGAAATTATGATTTAAAATATGAAGAGAAAAACTCACAAAATTTCAATTAAACTAGAGCTAATATAAAATTGGTATGTTTTGTACTCACTCACATGTATCACCACGAGCTTTTGTGAGATCCTATATCGGTTGGAGGAGAACAAAACAACAAAACAGATATGAAAACCTGTAATGACCCAAGACCACAGCTAGCAAATATTGTCCTATTCGGGCTTTCTCTTTCAGGTGTCCCCTCAAAGCTTACGGGAAAGGTTTCCACATCCTTATAAATGATGGTTTGTTCTCCTCCCCAACCAATGTGGGACATCACAATCCATCCCTTTTAGGTCCCAGCGTCCTCGTTGGCACTCTTTTATTCTTCCCATCGATGTGGGACCGACCCCAAATCCACCCCATTTGGGGCCCAGCGTCTTTACTGGCACACCGCCTCGTGTCTACCCCCCTTCGGGGAATAGCGAGAAGGCTGACACATTGTCCGGTGCCTGGCTCTGATACCATTTGTAACAATATCCGCTAGCGAGAAGACGCGTTTTAAAGCCTTGAGGGGAAGCCCGAAAGGGAAATCCCAAAGAGGACAACATCTACTAGCAGTGGGTCTGGATTATTACAAAACCTTTCATTAGTAAACGTGTTTTAGAACCATGAGGCTGAAAACGATACTTGACAGGCCAAAGTGGACAATATCTGTTAATAGTGGGTTTGGGATGTTATAGTTTTATATATGATTGAATCACTAAACCTTGTTAGTATAGATAATAACTTTCATTTCTTTTAAGTTTTTCTTAGGCTTCGTATCTTCAGGATCATTCTCGTTCAGATGTGGTCTCAGTCCATTCATATACTCTTCCTTTACTCGGTGTTACAAATGGGCTCATTACGACAGCGATCATGAGGATAAGATAACTAAGAAAAGTTTAAAGGAAGTGAAAGCTGCTATTGATACCAATAAGGTGCACCTTCCTTTTCATTGGCTCAATCATAGAAACTCTATGGTTAAGCATGCATGTTTTACTTAAAGCAATTCAATGTTGAACAATCTCTTAAAAAAAAATTCTTGGGTGTATGTAAGTGAGAACAAAAAATATTGAAAGGACTCTGTGTTGGTCTATGACGATAGTTTTCATAATTAAAAACAAAGTCGAACCATCAGGTTCTGAATTCATATTCTAAATCCTAAGTATGAGACGTTACACCATTTGGAACATATCTTATTTTATGTTACATTTCAAATTTAGAGACAGGAATATGAATTAAACGAAGATTGAGAATTGAAATTTTGTGAATTATCCTCAACATTTATCGAACCATAGAGAATGGAAAATGAGAATGTTTGCATAATTCATCACACCTAAATGGTTTGTGAAAGTTCTCCATAATAGGAACAGAGTAATAAATGAAACTATAATTTAATATTAAATATGAATCTCTTGTTTTAATAGCTTTTCCCATGATTCAACTGTCGATGTAACTGAATTATGGTTACAAACCAAATTAAATGGAAGGCAGAAAACAGCCGCCACAACATATCAATTCTGTTCCAATGTTCTAAATTTAGTTTTCCCATAAAACATACATAAATAGAGCTTTCAATCATTGGGACAATATCAAACAAAACATTCTCGTTTACCATTTGTGTCTCCAAATTAAGACACTGCACCATGACAACCACAAGAAATCTTAGACTCTTTCAAACCCTTCTCTGTGTATTTTCTTGGCAATGCTGTGTAAATTTGGCTGCCATTCCCGACGACGTTACAGGCGCTGCGAATCACATGGACGGCATCGGAACTCTGGCAAACACCGGCGGCAGTGTGGCAACAGATGACATGAAGGCGGCTGTTGATCAGAATGGGAATGGTGATGCAGTTTTTAATGTTAAAAATTATGGAGCAAAAGCTGATGGAAAGACCGATGATGCACAGGTGAATCATAAACTTCAATTAATTTCAGAAAAAAAAAATTAAACATTTGATTTTCCACGTGGCAGGCATTCATGACGACGTGGATTGCAGCATGCCGGAACACGTCCGGTCCGGCGAAGTTTTTAATCCCAGAAGGCACATTTCTGGTGGGTCCGGTGGTTTTCGCCGGTCCGTGCCAAAGCAGGCCGATCACCATCGAAATTCAGGGAACTGTGAAGGCCACAACCGATATTACTCAATATTCTTCAACTGAATGGATCTCCATCGAAGACATAATCGGCTTCATACTCACCGGCTCCGGCGTTTTTGACGGCCAAGGCGCCGCCGCGTGGCCCTACAATGACTGCAAGACCAACAACAAGTGCCAGGCTCTTCCAAACGTAACTATAATTATGCATAATTCAATCACTTCTTATTTGATAATAAATTACAAGATAATTACAAAATTGTATTTAATTGATTGATTGATTTATTTATTATTATTATTATTATTTGTAGTCGATTAAATTCTCGAAGGTGAACCATTCAATTGTTGATGGGCTGACTTCAATTAACAGCAAGGGCTTTCACACGACGGTGTTCAGATGCTACAATTTCACCGCAACCAACATGAACATTATGGCTCCGGGAAACAGCCCCAATACCGATGGAATGCACCTTAGCACCTCAACATTGATCAGCATCTCTAACGGCGTCATTGGCACCGGTGATGATTGTGTCTCTATTGGCCATAGTTGTGAGAAAGTCACCGTCACCAATATCACTTGTGGCCCTGGACATGGCATCAGTGTCGGTAGCTTGGGCAAGTATAAAACAGAGAGAAGTGTGTTGGACGTTTTGGTGCAAAATTGCACCCTTTTCAACACCACCAATGGTGTCAGAATCAAGACATGGGCGGGCCTTGTGACGGGGTCGGCCATGAGAATAACCTTCGACAACATTGTGATGGATAAAGTTAAAAACCCCATAATCATTGATCAAACCTACGGCACCAAAAAGAACAAGGTAACCACAACAAAAATGTTCTCTCCATGGTTTTGCTCTGAGCTTCTTATTTTTAACTTATAAATCCATGATCATTCCCTAAATTGGAGAATTTGACAACTACAACTAATCTATGTAGGCTTCGAAATGGAAGATCAGCGACGTTCACTTCAAGAACATTCGCGGGACGTCGACGACGAACGTGGCAGTGTTGTTGGAGTGCAGCGAGTTGTTTCCATGCGAGGGGGTGGAGCTTAGGGACATAAACTTGTCTTACGGCGGCGCCAGCTTGAGGAATACGACCACTGTTTCTTCATGTTTGAATGCAAAGATCAAAACTTTTGGCGAGCAGAACCCGCCGGCTTGTGTGTAACATTAGTGTTCAGTTTCTACGTTGGATCCTTGGACTTTGATGTCGTGTTTGGTCAGTGTTGACGGCCAAGCTTTCTTCATATAGTATTCCATTGTAAAATTGATTAAATTTAATCAATTTATAAAATCTCTCCTGAGATTATTAGTTTAATTTTACCTATATTTGAATTTTTCATCCTCTTTTAAATTGTTAAAAAAAAAAAAAAAAAAAAAGAGTAGTACTTCCCCCGTGCTGATTCCTTCATGTCTACTACACCTGACCGGCCGACACCGTCTTGGCTCACTTGAACTCGGATGCCACGTGATCCAAATGAACGAAAAGAAATCGATTCACGCTGAGTAATTCTTCCTCAACCAAGTTTCGGCAAAATAGCAAAGCAAGTACAAGTATTAGTAGAATAGCAAAAATGTGTTCCTCGTCATTAATATGTTTGTTCGTGGTAATTGTGACCTCACAGGAGAATCGATGACTGCATCAAAGATGCATCTGAGAGGTTACCTAATCACCTTAACACAACAATGCCAAGAAAATACTAAGTAATGACTTTCTTTTAAGTCTTTCTTAGTTATCTTATTCTCATGGTCTCGAATGTCACATCATCAATGATTGAAGCCATGATCAAATGTGCCCGTGACACCGTCAAAAGTGGCACCCACGAAGCAAACACTAAGAACAGGTAGTGAAAGAGCTTAAAACCTCTCGCCATTGCCACGATTATCTTACTACGACACCCAAATCATGTATGGTTCCCAAGATTGATGGCTTGGTTATTTTTTGCCTTTTGTTATGAGTTATTTTGAGACATAAATAATGATCAATCTCGATTGCATTATGAAATTGCATCAAGAAGTACAAATGAAGAATTGAGCTACATCTTACAAAACTATGCACAAGCTGGTGGGTTCTGTTTTCCTGTGGCCTTAAATTTGGCATTCAAACATGAATTCCCGACCAACGCCTTTTTCCGATCCGACCCAATAAAGGCCAAATCGATATCTTCCAATGTGATGCCGTCGCACGGGACGGCTGAGCTGCACTGTAATGAAACGGGGACGACGGATATAGTCGTGCCTCGAATGTTCTTGTAAGAAACGTCACTGATCTTCACCTTTGATGGCTGCATGAGAAGCATAAACTATATTATCACGGTCATGATCGTTATCGTTATCGCTCTCGAACATAGTCTTAGTTACTTATTACCTTTTTGTTCTTCTTCGAACCGTAAAATTGATCTATAATGATTGGACTTTTGACTGAATCTAAGACAATGTCTTGGAAATGGATTCCGGTAGCTTGGCTTGGAGGAGAATCTGCCCATGTCTTGATCCTTACTCCAAATGTGGTGTTCTTCAGTGTGCAATTTGATACAAAAATTCCACTTACATCCTTCTCATCTTTATATTTTCCTAGACTTCCCACGCTGCAAAATCGAATTTAAATTTAGGGTTTAGGGTTTTTTTTAGAGAGTCATTTCTAATAGACACTTGAATTTCAAACCGACAGCACGAGCCAAAACGCTCATATATTATATACCTGATATCATGTCCAGAGCGTCCCATGACGTTGCCAACAGTAATATTGATTTAGGATTTAGTGTTTTTTTTTACAACTCTGAAAAGTCATTTCAAACTTTTTTTAAACTCTGAAAAGTCATTTCAAACATACTCTTAAACTTCTAAAACGAGCCAAGACGCTCACATATCATATACCCGATGCCATGTCCTAAGCCACACAGGATGTTGGCAACGGTGATATTGATATTATTATCACAAACTTGCAAACTAAATTTAGGGTTTACGAATTTTTAGGAAACTCGAAAAATCATTTCAAATAGACCCTTAAACTTCTAAAATGACCCAAAACGCTCATATGTCATATACCTGATGCCATGTCCTGGGCCACACACGGGATGTTGGCAACGGTGATATTGATATTGTTATCACAAATTTGTAAACTAAATTTAGAGTTTAAGGTTTTCTAAAAAGTCATTTCAAACCGACCTTTAAACTTCTAGAACTTCAAACCTACTACACAAGTCAGAACCCTCCTATTATATACCTGATGCCATGTCCTGGGCCACATTTGATGTTGGAAACGGTGACATTGACAGAGCCATGGCCAATTGAAACACAGTCATCTCCGGTGCCTATGATGGAACTTGTAATGGTAACATTATCAGTTTGGCTGATGTGAATTCCATCCGTGTTAGGACTCTGGTCCGGAGCTATTATGTTCAGATTATTAACCCTAAGATGGTGGCTTAAAACCAAGAATATGTGGAAGCCTTTGCTGTTGAGTGAAGAAATCCCTTCCATCAATCCATTGGTCACCTTGTTGAACTTCAATGACTGCATCAAATTCATAATAATTAAATAATTTTAACGAGTTAATTGATCTATTAAACATAAAATTGAATGCCATAAAATTGAATTCTTACGGTTGGGGGCATAATGCAACTAGGGTTGTCGCGACAATCATTATACATCCATGTTTCTTGACCTTGACCATCAAAGGTTCCATTACCAATGAGATTCAAACCAGTGATGGATTCAAATAGAATCCATACTGGAGATGAATATTCAGTAATATCAGTGGTTGCCAAGACAGTGCCTTGAATTTCAACGGTCATTGGTGCATCGCATGGCCCGGCATACACCAACGGCCCTGTTAGAAACTTCCCTGGTGGGAAAACAACCTTCGCCGGACCGCCCGAATGGCATGCTTCTACCCACGCCTTCATGAATGCCTGCATGTTTCCATGTCATCCGTTTCTTTAATGTTCGTATAAATATCATTAAATACGGAGTTAAATTTAAATGGTATGAAGCTCTTGTTAGGAACCAAGACTGTCCATAATGATATGATATTGTCCAGTTTGAACATGAGCATGATTTCATGGTGATATGATATTGTCCAGTTTGAACATGAGCATGATTTCATGGTGATATGATATTGTCCAGTTTGAACATGAGCATGATTTCATGGTGATATGATATTGTCCAGTTTGAACATGAGCATGAGTTGTCATGGTGATATGATATTGTCCAGTTTGAACATGAGCATGAGTTGTCATGGTGATATGATATTGTCCAGTTTGAACATGAGCATGAGTTGTCATGGTGATATGATATTGTCCAATTTGAACATGAGCATGAGTTGTCATGGTGATATGATATTGTCCCGTTTGAGCATGAGCATGAGTTGTCATGGTGATATGATATTGTCCCGTTTGAGCATGAGCATGAGTTGTCATGGTGATATGATATTGTCCCGTTTGAGCATGAGCATGAGTTTTCATGGTCATATGATTAGTTTGAGTATGAGTATGAGTTTTCATGGTGATATGATATTGTCCAGTTTGAGCACAAGCTTTCATGGCTTGATTTGAACTTTTTCAAAAGGGTTAGACTCACTCCCAACAATTCTCAACCCCTCTCACCTGTGTGTTGATTTTCTTGCCATCAGACTTGGCACCATAGGTTGTAATATCGAAAACCTTGGTGCCTGGGGTGGTGGGGGTGCTTGCGGTGCTTGGGGTGGCGGGGGCGCTTGG